ATAAGTTCAGTCCCTCTAGCTGTTCGTCATACCTGATCTCCTCTATGCATCTTATCAGTTTGGTTGCCTTTCTCTGCACTTTCCCAAAACTGACTTGCATATTCCAGATTTACAGGACCAAAATTATGTGGCACTTTGTCTGAAGTCTATACCTCTTTTTTAAATATAATCTTTATTTAATAAAGTTTTTTTGAACACAACACAGACATATTCTATTCAATGAAAGGTTAGGTTAAGTTTACATGATGTCGATAACAAATGAAACAACATCTTAATCTTTAAATCTCAAATACAGTAATAGAACAAACTAATAGAGCATCTTAGCCTACAAAAGAATATGCTTTGTGCCATTGTTATTCTTCTTTGGTATGTCTGTATTGACATTTGCACAGTCAGAAGAAAAGAGGTGGATCTAATAATGGGCTAAGGTTTGTCTGAGGGTAACTGTGGTAAGAGGCAAACAAAGTAGAGGATAATAGTGAAATGGGAGTAGGAACTTGGGTCTTTTTTTCCAATAAATTGTCAAAAGGGATTTAGCAGTATTAAGACGGTGTAGGAAAACACTCCATTTTGTAATGGCTAATTTGATATAGTGGGGACATGAAGTAAGAAATGTAGTGGAGAGTCGGGTAATTTTATGTCAAGTATAGTTTTAACTTGGGTTTTGATATCAGCCAAAAATATATACATTTGAGTGCATTCCCACCAGATATAGAGGAACATGCCACATTGGCCTCCAACAAAGGTCCAGGACAGATGGCGAAATTTGTGCCAGTTTAGTGGGCACCTAATACCACTTATAAGTCAGCAGCTTATAATTATTTTCCTTCATTTGAGATTCAACATATCTAGAGTGGGCCAATTGGTAGAGGTGCCGCAATTGCAAATTAAAAAATTCAAATTGCAATAGAGAGATATCTGTGGCCAACAACTGTCTATGTTGCTAGTTTTTGCAACTGCAGCTGGGCATTGCATGCTGTTATTAGATCCATGATCTACCAGAACACCCAGGTCCTTCTCTATCATTGACTCCCTCAGTTGTTCTCCACCTAGAATGTATGATGCATGAATATTTTTAGCATCCAAGTCCATAAGTTTACATTTATAAATATTTGCCAAATAGTTGTTCAATTAAATAGTTCATTGAGGTTGGCTTATAAGTTGGAGACATTCGGCAAGGACATCATTACACTACATAGCTTGGTGTCATCTGCAAACACTGAAATGGTACTTTTAATCTTAAGCTCTGTATCTTAATGAATATGTTAAAAAGTAGGGGTCCCAATGATGAACCATGATGTACTCCAATAATAACCTTAGACCATTCAGAGTATGAAACATTAATCATTACTCTCTGAGTATGGTCTTTTAGTCAGTTTTCTATCCATTTAAAAAACGGAATTTTCTAACCCTGTAGGCTTTAACTTGCACACTAGCTGTGTGCAGGGGCGGACTGACCATTTGGAAACTCGGGCACTGCCCGAGGGCCCGGGGTCAGTAGGGGGCCCCATGAGATGCCCCTGGTACCTTTTTCATAGGCTTTTTTGAGTTTGGGCAAGGACACAGGGGCCCCATGATCCTTTATTGCCCGGGGGCCCCATGAGTTGTCAGTCCGCCCCTGGCTGTGTGTGGGGAATTGTGTCATATGCTTTTGCAAAATCCAAGTATACTATATCCACAACCCCTCCTTTGTCTATGTTTTTGCTTAGTCCTCATAAAAAGAAAATTGATTTGTCTGAAAACTTTCTGTCTTTCATGAACTCATTGCTTAAGATATTGTTTTCTAGCAAAAACTCTTATATGTGGTCTTTTATTAAACTCTTAAGTATCTTCCCAACTATAAACGTTTAACTGGTCCTGTTGTTACTTGTTAAAGATTTTAATCCTTTTTTAAATATAGGCCAATCCAGTAGTGCCACACTAGTCCTTAACCACTTGAAGACTGACATGTTAAACTCTCCCCCCATTCAGGCTATTTTTCAACACTGTGATTTTATTTACTTATTACAGGTACTTATATAGCGCCATCAATTTATGCAGCACTGTATATATGTATATATACAGTTGTGTTCAAAATAATAGCAGTGTGTTGAAAAAAAGTGAATAAATCTCAAAATCCTTCTAATAGCATTTATTTCCATACACACAAAATGCATTGGGAACACTACACATTCTATTCCAAATCAAAACATAAAGAAAAATATATCAAATTTGTGTTGTTCCTCTAAAAAAATTGAAGAAAAGTGAATATTAGACTGTTCAAAAAAATAGCAGTGTTTGTATTCTTCTTTACAAAGTCAAACATTCACTTTATAAACTGAAAAATGTTTGAAGATTTTGCTTTCCTTTGAATCACTTAATTAATATTTAGTTGTATAAGCACTGTTTCTGAGAACATCTATGTTGCATGGAGTCAACCAACTTCTGGCACCTGTGAACAGGTATTCCAGCCCAGGATAATTGGACTACATTCCACAGTTCTTCTCTATTTCTTGGTTTTGCCTCAGAAACTGCATTTTTGATGTCACCCCACAAGTTTTCTATTGGATTAAGATCCGGGGATTGGGCTGGCCACTCCATAACGTCAATCTTGTTGGTCTGGAACTAAGATGTTGCACGTTTACTGGTGTGTTTGAGGGTTGTTGTCTTGTTGGAACACCCATTTCAAGGGCATTTCCACTTCAGCATAAGGCAGCATGACCTCCAAGTATTCTGATGTATTCAAACTGATCCACGATCCCTGGTATGCGATAAATAGGCCCAACACCGTAGTATGAGAAACATCCCCATATCATGATGCTTGCTCAACCATGCTTCACTATCTTCACAGTGTACTGTGGCTTGAATTCAGTGTTTGGGGGGTCGTCTGACAAACTGCCTCCAGCCACTAGACCCAAAAAGAACAATCTTACTTTCATCAGTCCACAAAATATTGCCCCATTTCTCTTTAGGCCAGTCAATGTTCTCTTTGGCAAATTGTAACCTCTTCAGCACATGTCTTTTTTTCAACAGCGGGACTTTGCGGGGGCTTCTTGCAGATAGCTTGGCTTCACATAGGCGTCTTCTGAGTAGCTTAAAATTGTGTAAAACTGCGCAAAAGCTTCTAATCCAGGAAGCCTATACTGTGTTTTGACCCTCTTTGAAAAGGCGAAACACACACTGCGTGGCTTCTTGGACTGTGCACTGGTGGCAGAGCAGCAGGAGGACAAGGGATTAATGCTATCCCACGGCCACCTGAAACCTCTGTTCATAGCATGCATCCCTAGAATGTATATCTAAGCTGCTCACATACTTTCCTGCTGCTCAAAAATATTGTTTTAGCAACTGTGTCTGAAATGCTACACTCTAATTTTTATTTCAGGATAAAATCTGCCTTGCTTTTCTCTACCTGATACCTTTTTGGTATCTGTGTTTATTGCAGGATAAAAACTGCCTATATGGGTGATATGAAACTGTTGTGCCATAGCCAAATTTGTACAAAGCATATGTGCTTTAGGTGTAATTTTATTAAGAAGCCATTCCATAGCTTATATAGTTCTGTTGCAGCTGCTACTTGGTCAAAGCAGGCTTTGTATTACTTGATGAAAACATTGTTGTTTCCTTTTTTAAAACTGAAATGATGCAGAGTAGAGTGCTTTCTGTAAGCTCAGCTAACTGTAAGAGATAAAAATAAATGTCACGACCAAATGTATGCTGTTACAGTATGCTGTCATTGAGATGATCTGTGGAAATTGTGATGTTCTGTAACACTGTAAACAACTTTAGGACTTCCTTTTTGGCATTGGTACATGTCCTCTATGACAGTGCCTTTTATTTGATAACTTACTTTTCAACCACACAAATAACTGAATTAAATATTAGCCCCCTCCCCTTGAGAAGCTGAGTTTTGGGAGAGACCCAGTATAGTTTGCAAAAGTGATGAAAAAGATCTTGAAGAAAATAACATTAAGGCATATATATTAACACCCATATGTATAACTTAACTAAGTTTACAGATTGAGAAACCAAATAAATAGGGTTCATAAGGAAATATAATGCTATTCTTTCAATATCTTGAAATATCCACAGTTGTTACCTGTTACCTGTGTATGGTTATAGAAGCAATTTAGACCTGGCATATAGCAATGAACATGAAGTCTATGACTATCAGTAATAAATAGGTACCACATCCCAAAAACTGTACTAAAGAAAAAAGGAAGAGAAGGGTGGGACTCTCTAGGTACCAAACAACAACACCATTAAGATAAAAAAGAACAACATTTATTGAGGGACCCTGCCTATTGATCTTTCTGGGTGTATGAAGCACTGGGTCTATCCATTGTGACCATTTATAGGATCCTTAAAGTTAATATCCATCACACTCTGATTCTGATGGTAATCAATGTAGTCCTTTATGATGTAGCTATCATATTTTGAACATAGGGTCCTCTATTAGTGGGCACGATATTACTATATCTCCATTTGTTTAGGCTTGTTGCCTCTACCCTTTGTGCCAACTGGCTGGGTTTATCCTCCTTGCACTTTACCTGATTCCATTGGCGGTCTGTCATAGAGGACATGCATCTTTCTATGTGTGCCTTTTTATATACTTGTTTTTTACATGTGGTGTTTACCCATATGTGTTTTTGTCCTAGACCATTTTTCTTCCTCCTGATGAAAGCTCGTTAAGAGCTTAAACATGTTGAGGTGTCAAGGTCTCAACAGATGGAATGCAATCGAAGCAGCTATGTAGTTATAATCTAGTTCAAATTGATCCATTATATGTGTTATGTATAAATTGTAATCTTGTCTAATAAATGTTGTACTATTTTTATCTTAATGGTGTTGTTGTTTGGTACCTAGAGAGTCCCACCCTTCTCTTCTTTTTTTCTTTAGTAACATTATTTACTTTAGATAGTCATAGTCCAGTGGAAGAAATAAGAGAAGTTGCTATAATGTATAGTATTTTCATTTACATGTATTTTTCATTGCTAACTAAGGTTTGTTTAATGTTCCTGTAGTGTGTCTGGGTTGTGAGTTTCCTCTCCACATTCATCCTTGGTCTTCCATATGGAGTTGCTGTCGGTGTGGGCTTTTCTGTCTTGGTTGTCATATTCAATACACAATTGTGAGTAATTTTTAACATTTTCTTTGCTTTTCCTTCAGATACATAGTTTACATATATGGGGCAGAATGAATATTAGGTTGCAGTGGTGATGTTGACAACATATTCTGAAATTCGTTTCCCATCCTTTGCAAAAATATTAACTTTCATATTAGAGGCAGGTGGCATAGTTCATGGCACAAGACAGGTCATTGTTATTTTGTTGTTGTTCAAAGAATATGAAATAGCCATGGGTCTTTCATAGGCCGCTAGGCAACCATAACCTTCAACATATGTAAGTATTGATCCCTTACCAAGTGACTGCACCAATTTAGCCTTCACAATAACCATTCTAGAATAGACTACATCCCGAATCAATGCAACATCCAACCTCAAATAATCAGGTCACAATATTAACAGTTCCTTGGTCAGACAACAACCTCACCATCATCCTATGCCACTCCCTCCCCATCACACCCTATCTTTGCTTCTCAGCAATGCCATTCTATCTCATCCTGATATAGTTAAATAGTTAGTTTGGTTCCAAAAAAGACACATGTCCATCTAGATCAACCAATATAGCATATTATTTTAAAAGCCTGATGACAGATTCCTTTTGAACACAAACTTATTTTAAGTTTTCTTCTTAGAACATATATGTCTGAACTTATATGTCTGTCCTACCAGGCCCTCTTATGCAGATAGATTGAAAATGGAGCCGCTAATGTGAGAAGCACAGAACAGGCCTGGAAATTGAGCTCAAAGCTATATCAGCTGAATGCTTCTTTAATCGCATATCTTTTAATCTTGTCTTGCAATGCAACGTTTGGAAGCCCTTTCATAGCACCTGCATGAAAAATAAAGAGGCTGTTTAGTTTCCTCCACCCTTTATTGATCTCCAATTAGTTTGGAACAGCCCTGTTTACTGTATGTCTAGATAATAAAAGTCTGTTTCCTTTTGGATTGGTTAATAGGTTGGAAAGCTAGTGGTTTAAAAACCTTGAGTATGATTTCTAAATTGCATTATGAAATTGTTTTAGAAGCTGGAGGTTGACTTTTACTAAAGGATTATCCTGAAATTTAAAAAGTAGACAGGACAGCTGCCTGTACATTAAGGCTGCTTTCACACTGCATCACTTCTAAAATCTGCTATGTGTTTTAACCAATAAAATCTGCTATGTGTTTTAACCACTTCAAGTCCGGACACTTTCACCCCCTTCCAGTCTAGGCCACTTTTCAGCTTTCAGTGCTATCACACTTTGAATGACTATTGCATGGCTATGCAACACTGTGCCCATATAGATAAAACTTTATTTTGGTGGTAGTTATTCACCAATGGAATTTCAAAAATTTTGAAAAAAAAGCGTTTTTCAAATAAATAATCTTTAACAAATCTTGGCCAAAATGTTTTTATCTATCTTTTTAGTAAAAAAATAAAATAACCAAAATTAGTTTATGACTAAAAGTTATAATAATTTTTTTTTTTTAATTTCACATTTTTATATTATTTATGTTTTTTTGTTTTTTTTTTTTTTAAAACATACGGTCACCCTAGCAGTACAGTGTCACAATAGTGACACCGTACTACTTGTGGGGGGTGAAGAAGATTTTTTTTTTCTATTTTTACACTGATTGCTTTTACACCCATAAAGGCTCTAAAAGCAATCATTTCTCCTTCTCTCTGGTTGCATTCCTGCAGCCATTGAGAAATACTGTGGGAGCTGTGATTGGTCACAGCTTGTCACATGGTACAAGGCTGTTGCTAATAACCTTGTACCATGTGACCTCTGTGATCATTCACAGATTCACAGATTTTAGTAATAAGCAATGATGCCAGGAAGTGACTTGTTTACTACTATTCATGTGATCACTGATTGGCTAATCAGTGATCACATGAATCGGGACCTCACACAGAGGTCTCGTACAGCGATCTGTGTTCGCGGTGCCTCGTGCTCCCAGGGAGCACGCCCAGGCAATGGATGTGGGGGGATGTTTAGAAACATCCACCCGCATCGGCAGTGCTCCCATCCGGCCGTTTATCTACATGGGCCAGATGGGAAGTGGTTAAAAATGCATAGAATGTTTAAATGCATTGCATTACAAATTTAGCGCAACACGTTTGTGGTGAATAGCTGGTTGTTAAGGAGCCTAAACACAAATGCATCCTTAACAGCCAGCTATTCAATAGTTGTTAAAGATTCCAGTGGGTGCCTGCTCTGCTATTCACTGGTTTTTAAGTTGTTATTCTGAGATAGAAAAACTGCAAGTGCATTCCTTATTGCTCCTAATTCTCTTAAATTGGAAGCCTTTCTGCTCAGTTCTGATTCCACTTTCTTGGAGTTGCTATCTGGTCTAAGCAAGCCTCCAGTTCCCAAGAACTTGCATCTCTTATTGATGCCTGGTTACCTGCAAGCCATACTTGCCCATGAAACCAAGTACTGGGTGGTGAAACAACTGCCAAAACTTGTCTGACGGATTGTGGGACTGGGATCTGGGTGTCCAGAGTTTCCTGTAAACCATCCCAGTTTGCCAGAAATAAATTCTGCAGTAATCTTTAATAGCGTTGAGCTTATTGTACTACAGGTATTGAAAAGGTCATAAAACCAAGCAGCCTCATGATGGCTCCAAAGGTTGCTAATGTTTTGATGACTATCTGGGGGTTTTGAATTTTTTCAGTGTGCAGAAAAATCAAAGTTACACTTACGATAATGCCTTTTCCAGTAGTCTTTCAGGACAGCACCTTGAGAGACCTCGGTTCCTCCCCTCCTGAGGAAACACCTCCACCCTAAACAAAAAACCTATCACTCCCCTCCGACCTGAGTTCCTGGAAACGTACCTCCGGTCACCTGGGGAGACAAAATATGAGACAACAGGACATACTATAAGACATGTCATATACAATTCTGCACAAAGGGTGGGTAACCAGTGCTGTCCTGCATGACTACTGGAAAAGGCGTTACCGTAAGTGTAACCTTGATTTTCCCCCTTCGTCTTTCAGGACAGCACCTTGAGAGGATAAGTGAGTACTTACCCCTCGGGTGGGCTGTCTGCTTGCAGTACCTTACGTCCGAAGGCCTGCTCCTGCACCGAGACCAGGTCAAGTCTGTAATGCCTCACAAACGTCTCATAACTAGACCAGGTTGCTGTTCTGGGGAGGCTCCTGCCAGTTCAGCTTGAGTTGCCGCCACGGCCCATGTGGAATGAGCCCTGATTCCTTCTGGGACTGCTAGACCCTCGGTTCGGTATGCCTGTTCAATTGCTAGCTTTAACCATCTAGCTACTGTGCGCCTGGAGGCTTTTTTCCCTTTTCTCGCCCCCCGCAAAAGAAATAACAAAATGACTCTGTGCTTCAAAATTCTTTAGTCCTATCTAGGTAAAGGAGCACACACCTTTTTACATCTAACAAATGAAATTTCTCTTGACTTTCCCTTACCAGGTTAGGGAAAAATGAGGGCAAAACTATATCCTGTTCCCTCTGAAATTCTTGGGCCACCTCCGAAACAAAGGATGGGTCCGTCCTGTACACCACCCTATCCGGAAAAATTTGCAAGTAAGGCACCCTGACCGACAGGGCTTCCAGTTCACACACCCTCCTTGCTGTGGTGACCGCCACCAAAAAAACAGTTTTAAGCGTGAGAGCCCTTAGGGAGCAGGATCCTAGGGGTTCAAATGGTGGTTCCGTCAATACCTTGAGTACCTTTGTCAAATCCCAAATTGGGAATGGTCTATTCCCGGGAGGTCTCTGTCTTGTCAGAGCTCTAAAGAACCTGATTACCAATCCCTCCTTAGCTAAAGAGGTTTCCAGAAACACACTAAGGGCCGAAATTTGGCTCTTGAGGGTGCTGATAGCAAGCCCTTTATCGACTCCCGCCTGCAGGAATCCCAGCACCGACACCAGGCTATGGGTATCCACTGAGGCCCTGCAGCACCATTCTTTAAAGCGACTCCAAACCTTCCTGTAAATGGCTTGGGTTTCTGTTTTCCTGCTAGCCAGGAGCGTAGCCACCAGCCTGGCTGAGAGCCCCTTTGCTAACAGGAGTTGCTGCTCAGAAACCAAGCCGTCAGTTTCAGCCTCTCCACCCTGGGACATAGGACCGGGCCTTGCAACTGTAAGTCCTTCCGCGGAGGTAATACCCAGGGTGGCAGCGTGGCTAGGGCCCTCAATGTTGCGAACCAAGCCCACCGGGGCCAATATGGAGCTATCAGGATGAGAGAAGTTCTCTCCCACTTGAACTTCCTCAACACCACTGATAGTAAGGAGACTGGGGGGAAAATCACACCTCTGTCCCAACGCATCCACTGCCCGCGCCCCGTCCCACCGGTTTAAGGAAAAAATCTTGGGACCTTGTTGTTTTGACCTGACGCGAAGAGGTCAATGTTTGGGGATCCCCACTTCTTTACAATGGCCTGGTAAACCTCTCCATTTAGGACCCACTCCGACTCTCTCAGGCTATGTGTTCAGTTAGCGGAAAAAGGAGGAGAGGATGCCAAGGGTTATGTTACCATAGAGCAGGAGAAGAGGATGTTAAGGGCAATGTAATCAGTGAACGGGAGCAGGAAGAAAGGATGTTGGGGAATGTGTGACCTGTGGGCGGGAGTAGGAGGAGAGAACACAAAGGGTGATCAGTGATCAGGAGCATGAAGAGAGGACACCGGTGGCTCTGTGATCAGTGAACAAGAAAAGGAGGAGACAACTCTAGGGTCAGTGTGATCAGTGAGCAGCAGCAGGAGGAAAGGGTCCTTGTATAACCAGTGAGTCAAAGGAGAGGTGCCATGTGATCAGTGAGTGGGATCAGGAGGAAGGGACAATCAGGGCTGTGTGACCAGTGAGCAGGAGCAGGAAGAAAGGACCTTAACGGTAGTATGATCAGTGAGCAGGAGTAGAGGATGCCAGGGCCATGTGATCAGAGAGATGGAGCAGGAGGAAAGTATGCTGGATGTCATGTAATCATTGAGTGGAAGCAGAAGAAGACATCAAGAGCCATGTGATCAATGGGCAAGAGCAAGAAGAGGATGTCAGGGGCTTTG